GCCTCCCAAGTAGCTGGGACCACAGGCGCCCGCCACAACGCCTGGCTATTTTTCGGTTGCAGCCATCATTGTTGTTTGGCGGGCCTGGGCTGGATTCAAACCCGCCATCTTAGGTGTATGTGGCTGGCACCTTAGCCACTTGAGCCACAGGCGCCAAGCCACATATCATCTTTATTTAGGGTGGGTAACATAGCTATTTAGTGTCATTATTTGTTATACAATGTTCAGTTCATAGGTAAAGGAGACCAGTGATAGGGATTTTCTGTGTCACTGGGAATGAGGAAGAATGTCAGGAGCCAGCCTGGGCTTGCTACTACCAGGCTGTGCCCCCTAGATAGACCTGAGGCATGATGAAGGATAACATGCTCCCCTCTGAGCCTTTCATTCACCCTCCCAATGGAGCTAGATAGGGCAGGTGCCATTGTACCTGTTTTCTAGTTGTGTGCAGAAAAAAGGCATTGAAGAGACTCACTAGACATCTGAGAGCACATGTCCATCCTCAGTATCCATTGGTGGGATTTTAGTACCAAAGCCTTTCCTGTCCACCCTTTACCCACGTGTGCATGTTGCTTTACCTAATGGGTGTATGTTATACTTTCCCTTTTTGGGTAAGTAGATTTTTTAATGTGACTATTGAAAGGCCCTGAATACTCTTTAAGGCACTCATGGCTCTGGGACCACCTTCCATTTGGGAGACCTGATGTGAAGGCATCAGAGGCATGCCCTCCAGTGTAGGACCCTGCCTTTGGCTGCCCTTCTTTTAGTTTCTTGGTTTATACCAACAGAATACATGCTCCCTAGAGAACACTAAAATTCCATGAAGATACTCTTGTATATTACAGAACTACTTTTTTCCTATAAGATGGTCATTTCTAAATCTTATAACAGCAGGTGAGAATGTAGTCAGTCACATGGGCCTGGGTCTTGGTCAGCTAGGGCCACCATAACAAACTGCCATGACTACATGGCTTGATAGCAAACATTTCTCACTTTCACTCACAGTTCTGGAGGCGGGAAGTCCTAGATCAGGGTGCTGGTCCATTTGGCTCCTGATGAGGGTCCCATGCCTGGCTTGCATATAGCTACTTTCTCCCTGAGTCCTCACATGGAAGGACAGAGACAGGAAGGATAAGAGTGAGCCCAGGCTCTCTAGTGTTTCTTATAAGGCCACAGTCACATCAAGGCTTCACCTTCCCTTATGACCTCACTTAACCTTAATTACCTCCTATGGTCAAATTCTAGGTGTTAGGCATCAACATAGGAATTAGTGGAGGACCCAGTGCAGTCCCTGACACCTAGCTTCAGATACCTCACTTAGCGGCTTACTGGCTGGTGGGCCCTAGATAAGTTTCTTCTCTGCAAAATGGGATGGTAAGACCTGCCCAGCCTATAGTCATGGCTGAACAGGAGCACCCAGCCCCACTTGGTAGTCACTCTGGAAACACAGTCACTTATGGGGGCCTGCCCCACACTGTACACTCAGCATCCAATATTATGTGAGAAGCAGCTGTCTCAGCCTGTGCATCCTGAACACCACAGTATGTTTCTCAGTGTCCATTAGTTGCCCTACGTTTCCTATACTTGCTGAGTCTCCATGAATTCACAGAAAACCAGAGACTCCAGGCTCATGAAATCTGGACAAGGCAGTCTCCATGAAATCAACATGCTTTTTTCTGGTTTTTTCCTTATACAGGTAAAGTTGAGTGGGAAAACAGGTCGGCGGGCAGACATCACTTTGATTGAGGGCAGCCTTCTCGTGACAGCCATAGGGGAAACTGTCCTCAGGTAAGAGTTTGTCTTCTTAGTGCCCCTGGATGAGAATTCTGTCAGGATCAGGCTCTTCTAGTAAGCTCGTGTTGAAGTATAACATATGCACAGTGAAATGCACCTATTGAAATGAATTTTCACATATGGACAGATCCATGTAAAACATTAGAGACATCCTAGCACTCTGGGAGGCCAAGGCAGGTCGATTGCTTGAGCTCAGGAGTTTGAGACCATCCTGACCCAAGAGTGAGACCCTGTCTCTACTAAAAATAGAAAAAACTAGCCAAGCAGCCTTTGTGGTAGGCACCTATAGTCTCAGCTACTTGGTACACTGAGGTAAGAGGATCTCTTGAGCTGAGGAGTTTGAGGTTGCTGTGA